TCTCTCTCTTGTAATTTTTATACTTAATGAGACAAAACTTCCAATTTTACTTGTTTAAGACAGAGAGCCAAATCTCTCTATTTTGAAGTGTTTTATTAACAAAGGAAGTTTCCTTGTGTTGTCAACAGGACAATGTACTGCTGTACCACAAGCAACAAGATCTTCTATTTGAACATGTTTTTCAAAAAAAGAAAAAAAAATGCAGTTGAAAATATAAATATTCTTTCCAATCATTATCAACTGTAAAGATTTTATCTTTTCTAACCTAAAGGAGTCAAATTTTCTTCCAAGAAACCTATTGAAATTTTGAAGTCAATATGAAGAACCTATGTAGATTGTAGCCAAGTTAGGGTTATAAATCCTTTACATATATATCTATAACTTATTTTAATATTAATGTAGTTTTTTTTTTTAGTAATAATATTAATGTAGTTTTTTTTTTTAGTAATAATATTAATGTAGTTGGTAAACTTAAATTTGTTTCTCCTAGTTGGTAATTTGAGGACATGACAGTAAAATTATATTTTCATGATATAATTTTGACAATTCTCCTAAAAAAAAGTCTTTTGAAAAAAGATCTAGAAAAGAATAATTAAATTATCTATGGTTGAATGTCAATATTAAAATATATTCTCGTCAAAGAAGCTTTCATATACATACTACCTTAGGTCTTGATGAAATTTTTTCTTCAAAATACAATCTTTAAACATAAATTTAGAATGAAAGTTTCTAACCACAACAATAATTAATCAATTTATTTTAAGAATTTGTATTTATCTCCACTAGGTATATATGATCCAATCTTTTGATTACCATGGGAGAACAAAAAAAAGTGTTTGCAAGATTAGGGTTTGCTAGAAAGAAAAAAAAACTACAAGAAATGATGGTTGGAGGGTAAAATACGACCTACCACGTGAGCACAAAAGAAAGATAATCGCTCATGTGACCTTAATTTCCCCATATAATCTCATAAATGCGTAGCGGTCAAATCATGAAACTCGACTAGAGTAATCCTAATATATAGCTCGAACTATCACAGAAGGTCTTTAGAAGGCTTACATTAAGGCGTATTCATCTGTGCAACTAAACAGATCGGAGACGTGAAGACCCACTACCTTTGTCCCATAAATAGACATTCACTTTCGTACGCATGTATACAATTCTATTTCTCGATTTGAGAGCATTCTTACTAATTTTGGGTATTAGAGTGTCTATTCTCGTGGTGTATATCTTTGCTCGCATTGATCGCTACGGATAGCTCGATCTAGTCCACCTCGCACGTGCTTTCAAGACGATCAGATTTGGGCATAAACACTGATCATACTAGAAAATAAAAGTTATTTACATCGTCCTACCCAATACTTACATTAAATTCAGGATAATTCTATATTTAATCATATATATATATAAGTAACTGTGATCGAGTAATAAAATAGATTATCATATGTATCGACTAAACTCGTAACAGAGATATAATTTCTACCTAGATTCAAATTCTACTGATGTAATCTAAAATATTTTTATTAGTACATGTCTAAGTTGACAAACCTTAATAGTTTTCAAAAGTTGACTTATTTTTTATTGCATGGTCATGCTATAGTATTAATAAAACAAGAAAGTGGGTAAACTTTGGCAATTTCTAGGGGTTTAAGAAGTCAAACTTAGGGTAATCTGGGATTTGATTAGGACAGTTGTCCTAATCTTTAAGGGTCAATTATATGTTTATATACAGCTTTATTACCCTAATCTTAGGATGCTTCTTTGTTTGTCTATAAATGCATGTCCTTATTTTAGAGGAGACAAAACAAAGTTGGGAGGCATTTGCATGATTGGTTGTTCTCTCAATATATATATATATATAATTTTTTTTTTCCTAAAGAGGGAAGTGGAAAATCCAGAGCCAAATAAAGTTTATTCTAGGTCTTGACATGTGTAGTTGGCCTTTAGAAAGTATATATGAAGACTTAGAAATTGTATTATTGCATCTAGAAAATACAATGAAAAAGGGGGGAATTGATCAAAATTATAAAACTAGGGGTGATTGTAAAGAAGAAAATAAATGATCATTGTAATGATAATATTATGAATTCTTTTTTATAGAAAGACTCTATTGATTTAAACTAAAGGAGGAAAGAAGAGCAAAATGTTATTTGAGAATGGTAGTATTGATTGGCTCATTTGATAATGTTACTGTTTTTTTGTTTTTAATTGCATTATTCTAATATCTATAAATTCAAGTATGATAAAATATTTATGTTTTGGAACGAATAGAAATGGAAACAATAAAAGAAAAACTTGTTTTGTTTGTTTTCAAAATTTTTATATAATTTTGGGAATATTTCCCAAAAAAAAATATAGGTAGTTGTAAAATGCTTATATTTCTTAAGAGGTTTGGAAATGAGAATGTTACCAAACGGGCCTTGAAAAACTAATGTATTTCATTTTTAAACTTTTATTGGTAGTGGAAGTTTTCTGCCAACCCGAGCTTACCACAACTGGTTAAGACATACATCTCTGATCACGTATGTTCGAACTCCTACTCGCTACTCCCACATGTTGTACTAAAAAAAATAAAATAAAATAATAATAATAATCTTCTAAGTGTTTGGTTGCATGTGTTATTAAGAATGAGTAAGTATGAGTTCCGAGTTATAAGTTCATAAATCCCACAAACTACATCAACATATATTATATATAAATTCCACATGTTTTTAGTTCAACAATTGCAAAGGTAGGAGATTGAACTATCAATCCTAGTAATAGTTTATCCTATCTACTTGAGCTATGTTCGAATTGGCTATAAACTCGTCGTTTATACTAAATAATTTTTACAAATCATAAACTAACAAAACAAGCACATTTTACCTAAATTCATATTTTATAGTCAACATGAGTATAGTTCATCAACAGTAAGATTGGAGGTACAAATCTCCGACCATGTTTTATATGTTATTCTTTTATATAATCCTACCAATTCAAAAACCCACAAAACCAAGACCAAAAAGAATCTTTTAAACATAGCTTTATTACTTGAAGAGAAAGCACACTGAGATAAGAATAACACCCATGAACATTTAAGGGTTTCTAAGGGAAAAACATGAAGCCATGAACAATGAGAATAAACCCACCGTAAATCTTAAAAGGTGTAGAAATTCCATTCCAAAAAAGCTAATTCCATAGAAACAGAAGAGACCCATTTATGATTAAAGACCTTTCGGTTTTAAAAGCCATATTTGAGACCACGTTTTTCACTCACTGTCCCTTCTATATCGGCTGTGGCGGCTTCCTTTTTCATGCTTACCTTCTCTTTCCAAGTTGCTGATTGGAGCTTTTTGTCGGCATCTGTAGGGCTGTTGTCCTTAACTTTTGCAAATGGGGTGCAATGTTCTGTGTTATTTTCTTCTAGAATGTTCTAGAAGAAAATTCTAGAAAGGGGAAAGGGAAATGGAGATCTGAATCTGAAAAGATTCCCCCTTAAGACAAACTAAATCAGGAACCTGCTTTACAAAAGACCAGGATTCAGCAAAGAACATGAGAACTTGCTTAGATTCTCTCTTTCTTTTTCAGAACAAAAAATGAAAAAACAAATGGTAAACACCAGGCAAACAAACAACTCTCCTTTAAGGCAGAGCTCAGCTCATCAGAAGAAATATAAGCAATTATCATGAAGACAACAATATTATCCATCAATGAAGCCTTGTCTTAATAATATTCTATCACTATGTTGCTGCCTTTTGAGGAGGAGACAGTTTGGGCAAGAATTACCTCAAATATTTGCTGGATCAGCATTAGCAAAGCATCATCATGGTCTCCTATTTCCCCAGCCAGAAGAGATCTGTGTTGTAGCAGTAGAATTTTTCTAGACATTATCAAAAGTTAGGTGGGGGGGAAATCATTTCAGCTCTAAAAAGTTCACAAGACTTGAGAAGGAAGGACTAGTGCAGTGCATTATATCATAAGCAAGAAAGAGAAGCAATTGTTATAGAATTTGCATGTTTCTTTTTGAAATGTAAACTTTGTAAAGTCATCCGAAGCCAAGTCCAGCATTGGATGTCACTACATAACGTGATATTAAAATCCCGTACAAGATCACATTGCCATTGGGATGACACTCCCAGAGTCTTAAATACATCTTTTTCCACAATAAATGAGGGAAAAAAACGAGTGGTAATAAACACAGCTTTCAAATTCATGTTCAATTTGGAATTGGAAGCTTGTGCCTGCTCATAGGAAAACTTGAAAGATATAGGAGGCATAAGCAGATGCATAGCTCGAAAAGAAATCACCGTGGAACAGATCATTTTGTTTGTCTCGAAATAGATCGATTGAAGCAGCAAAAATGGGCGACAAACTTCAGAAAGTCGTGATGCAGAGTTACCTAATTGCTATCGCTGCTTTCAGGATTATTCAAAAGGCAGGTGGCAGAAGGCTGTAGGAAATTTGCTACATTCTTTAAGGTTGACCATAACTTATTCAGGCTGAGATAAATTTAAATATAAGGATTGTATGGACACAGAAGGTCAGAGCTGAAGTACGCTAGACCTGGACTATGGGACCATTATAATAGAAAAAGAGGTCTTTGGTTTTGGGCTTGGGCAAAAAATAGGATGTTTTGATCCTGAGGCAGCTTAGCTTCAAGTACGACCCTCCACACCGGTGGTGCTGGTGGTGCTGCTCACCGACGGGCCAGAACTTTGAGAAGACCGTTGAACACTTGAATGAGAATGCATTTCCGTCCTCGATGTAGTTGAGCCAACCAATCCACTAGAGGTGCTCATTGATGATGACATTCTTGAAGGGTTAGAATCCTTTCTGGATCCTGAAAAATGTTCAGGCCTCAACTCTGAGGATGAGGACG